CACCACGCTTCTACACATACAGGTATGTAAATCGAGGTGCAATATATCAAAAGCTTTTTTTCCATATCTCTTTCAGAGAAGGTCGTGTTTTGCATCCGCTGTGGCACAGAGCTGCTGGGGACCAGCTCCAACTTCTGCCACCACTGTGGCGCCCCCTCGCTGCAGGATACAGGTGAGCACGTGACCCACGGCTTATTACTTAAAGGAATTTTATCTCCAAAGGATTTAGCTCTGCCTATACATTTGTTTAGATACAGGTTGACTTTTATAGTCTGTGTAGATCTCCATCTACTTAGTAATTTGTTTTAAGTTTAATTGATAAATTAAAAACCCCATTTGAATGAATAATTTAATAGAGAGATGAATTAATAAATGAAGTAGAAGGAACATTTTTGAAACTTTTGATGAGTGGGGGCGTATTTTAGAAAGCGTAAAGGTTTAAAAAAATATCTGTAAAAATTAATTGATAAAATGCTTGGAAGTTTGTAAAATAACATTTTATGCCTCTGTAGCTCGATTTTAATCTGGATTTAAATTAAACTCGACCTCTGTCATTTATTTCCAGGTGGCCGCCAGAGGGCGATAGAGAGGGCAATCACGCACCTTGTCCGTCTGTCCCTCTGTCAGATAGGGACAGGGACAGTCAGTGTCATCGTGGGGATTCTCATGTTAAACTTTGCCCTTCCCACTGGAGGGTGGCCCCTGGTCTCTGGATCTCCCATTTGGTCTGGTATTGTGGTAAGTGGAGATTTATTTATTTATTTATTGGTTTGTTTGTTTGTTGGCTGGATAGTTATTTAGTTAGTAAGTCTATTTATTTTCATTTATTATTATTATTTTCAATTTCTTTAAGCTACATTAAAGACATAGGAGCTTGGAGGGCTTATGGGGGATTAGAGGTTATCAGTTCAGCTATACGCGTAAAACGAATGGGGGGGGGGGGGGGCAAAGGAAATCCTCCACCATTTCTATTTTTCTCTGAATGAGATACATGTAGCTTCAATATTTACAATCTAGGATCCAATAGGTCTTACATTGGATAATTTAAGAACACTGCTGTTTACTTTCACTTTGTCATAACTTTTATACGACAGTTAAAAGCGTTGGCAGAAGTAGGCAGAATATGTTAACTAAGATTATATGTTCATAGGCTTTCATTTTCACTTTTTCATTATAGGTGGCAGCAGCTGGTGCATGCGGCTTTGCCACACAATATAATACCTATAAAAGTGTCCACAACAGAAAACTAAGATCTCTAGTAAGTACTCAGTATTTTTCTATGCAAAAGAGATCTGTTTACAAATTGTAGTTTTGCAATAAAGATACAGTATGTGCCTTTGTATGTTAAGCATGGAAATAAAGAAAGTGAGTATAATTTGCAGTTTTGGTCTCAATTAAAGCATTTTTCTCCAAAATTTGATGCCCGACTCAGTCACGAAGCACATGTTTCCATAACTGAATTCTTTGAATTTTTTTCATTTCTTTAATTTTTCAGTCACACTTAGAAATATCACCCAACAGAGCCAATGGACCAGAACGATCAAAATTCAGTTCATTTAACCATTAATTCAATTTTTTCCAGGTACTGGCCCATTTTGGCCTGAGCAACTTAGGAATCACAATGTGTGCCTTCAACATAGCCTTCACAGGTTGGAGCCTGGGGGTATGCCAGGGGTGGAAAGAAGACCAATGCTTCCCCAACTTCAACCAGAACCTCGTCATGGAGGGGGTTAACCTTGTGGTTGGTCTGATGGCGGCCATATTCTCTATCATTGGCACCAGTTATATTTGCTGCTTTGGGCGCAGGTTTGACGTGATGGTAAGACCCGGGTACTCGCGAGGGGTGTATTATGGGAGCCCCTCCCATCAACTCCAGGTCTGATTGGCCGGCTCTGTTCTGAGAGCCCTGTTCTAGCTGAAAGCCATTTTCTGATTGGTGCAGATGATTTGTTAACTCTGTTATGACTGGACTATGAGAAGGCAATTGGCAGACTTTTCCTCCTAAACTTCAGCATGATGATGATGAATAAAATAGAAAGATCTCAACTACACAAGCTGTGAAATAATATTTATTTGCTCAAAGCTTGTGGATGTCATTGCATGGACCCTCACAGACAAATAATAATAATTTGTCTGATTTACTACGTGGACTGGCTAGCACTTTTCCAATTGACACTTTTTCAGAGGTCGACCTCTGTATTATCAGTTTTTCTGCCGTTAGTGTACAGTTTTAAGTTGTTTGGGTAGTGTCTCACTTATGAAAATAAGCGTTTAGGAAATGACTGTTGATAAAAAGAAAATGTATAAATAAATGTAAAATTAAACCTTTGTAGACAATGCAGTGTTACATGTATATGTGTTTGTTGAATTTTTTGGACAAAACTCTGAAAACACCAATCTTATTTTCATTTATATAACATTACATAATACCTATTTTTACTGTGATTGAATGAGGTTTTTCTTGGGTTAAATTAAACTATAGTTTTGTCCAACTTTGGTTTAAAATTGTTACATGTAAGTGACAGAGGCCTCACAACTACTTTTAAAGATGATGCTGTTGAAAGTCCTACAAAACCCAGTCGACACAAACCATGTAGAAACATACGTTTACTTTGACCAGATGCCAGATAAATACTATAAATAATTATACATAATTATGTATAACATGAGCAACAAATAATTATAACTTACATTTATAACATAAAGCAAATAATTATATCAATTATAAAATGTTAAAAAACAATGAATTCAATTATATCTTGTAAAAATGTATTACATAAAGCATAACATGTAAAACAATTTGTTGTATCAAGCATCATTTCCCTAATGTAAGCAACTGATTCAATGTCAAAATCTTAATTGCACACAAAAAGAACACTACACTTTTATATAGTGAAAGTTAAATTTTCACAGAAATTTCAGCACCATTCTTATCATAAACATAAAGGCAAAGGTGTACCCTTTCAAAAAAAGGACCATACTTATATGTTTTGGAATTTTAAATTGTTGGTTTTTATCATCATGAGAGAAATTTACAGTTCCATCTCTTGGTAACAAGAGCAACTAAAAATTATTTTTTCAAAATATGTGCATTTATCACAATCACATTAAGCATTGCATTTGTTTATCTTTAACAAAATGAGCAGCACTGCACACGACTACAATGGTATATTGATTTATGACAGCAATCAACCTGGACTTGCAAAAATTCATACATAACAGGTGTGACCTGTTTAATACTATAAACCCCCATGCACTGGCATATTCTGTTCAGTAAATTTTCTTAATACTTGTTATGGACGACTAGGAATAAATATTTAAAAACAATAACAACAACTTCTGAGTGTAATACTGGTATAACAGAAATCAAACTGAAATCTACCATCTATATTCATTTTAATCAAGGGCAACTGATTTTACATATCAAGTTTTGATCTTAGACAATTACTTGAGCATACAAAACTTTTAAATTCTTTCTTTGAAAGTTGCTTGTAAGCATTGATAACTTTGTCCCAAGATGTTTTCAGGACATACCGGTAAAGTTTGCTGAAAATGTATTGATTTCAGTCTCCAAATAAACAATACTGCCATTATCATGTTGGATCTTTATTAATTGAGCAAATGACTGATTGCATGATTGATCTATGATAAATTGAATACTGAAAAATTGTTATTTTCTTACAGAGGCATGTTTACATGTAGTCAATTAAAGCATTGGAACAACTGATTATGCTAAGTGTACTGTAAATGTACACAGTCCCAAACCAGGGGGGGGGGGGGGGCTTTTACCATGAAACTTTCTTGTACCTAGATCAAACTGTACCAAGAGAGGACCTTTTGCAAAGTTAAAGTGTGGTTTGTCCAACCCCTTGACCTCCCTACATGTAGTCATGTGTCTGATATATATTCAAATCTCAGCCATTAGGCCGATCTTGCACAAGGCTTCCCGCGCAACCACCTGTCTTGCAGAATCCTCACTGAAACAGGCTTTTCCTTTAACGACAACTGGGAATCTGACACTACTTACAAATTTCTTCTCTGCAACAGGAACAGTTTCATATGTTGGTGGATTAAGTTGAATTGCAGGCTGTTCAAACAGTCGGTTTTGGATGCAACAAATTTCTTGCAGCTTGCTCTTACATAGGTTCAAATCACTAGGAATGTCTGCATCAGAGAAGAGAGTTTTCAGGGCAAACTCTGCTGCCTTTTTCTCTGCATCTTTTTTTGTTGGATAACCACTTTCCTCTGTACTGAAGATATACTTGAACTGCACTATTGCCAAGAACTGACTTTTATCTCCAGCAGGCTGAACTCTGTATTTGGCTGGGTCAAGCTTTTTCTCAAGCAGATGATTGTCCAATGTCACAGTCATATTTTTCTCCGGCATTTCATCCATTTTAAGCCGTTTCATGATAAAGTATGCATTGAACGCTGCACTCTGATTGGCCAATTCCTCAGTAGGTTGCGCCTTTCCTTGAATGCTTATCACCATTTGGTTTTTTAAGTAGGGAGAAAATAGATAGGAACTGAACAAATCTGGCTCAGAGAAACTTTTGCAAGTGAAGAAAATTGGCTGGTGTCGCCCAGGCTGACTGGAGCAATATTCGATAAGGGCACCCTTTTTATTACCATCAGGTGGCACTACAAGCTGCAGGGAATCTAAAGCTTGTCCTGTCACATCTTGTTCAGCCATCTTCTTACTGGACTTTCCCGTTGAACTGGCCATCACATACTTGCAAACAAACTGGACAGACGAGAGAAAATGGCCACCTGGGGGCGACACTGTCTTTCTATAATTGGGCATAGGGCATCCTATTCTAAGCAGCAAAGTTTCAATGTCCCTCATTGCAGTAGATGTGTCTACATCTGGTTCAGGTGATTCTCTGTTTGGGGAGCCTGAAATTATGTGCCATAGCACCAGATATTCTGCATTAACTGGTTAATTAATTAATTAATTAATTAATTAAATTCTATCATTTTTGGTCAAAAAATTATAATAATAATTATTTAAACATATGAAAATTGAATATAAAGCAACAGTATGTGTGCCCAAGATACCAGACTAGGCATTTACCTGCAGTGACCCTACTGGTATGCACATTTTCACCACTCACAGATGGAGCCACTGTCTTCAATGGGTCACATGATTCAGGAGCAGAAGACAACCCCAACTCTCCCAGCATGTTCAGGATTTTCTCTGCAGCATTTTCCTTTGCAGAACTAATATCTGGACAAGGGTTGCTTTTGACTGTGATCTTTATATTGCTGTTTGTGAGGTAGTCACACCTCAGAATGCAGTTGAACGCTGTCCCTGTGAGTAAAAAAAATGGCAAAGAATCTTGATTAAATTTTGATAAGTGGGGTTCTTCCAGCTGATAGGGTGTTGGTCCTTTTAACCCCCTCCCATAAAAACAAACTACAGAATTTTTATCCACTTTAATGAGCTAAAGAAATATCAAATTATTGCAACTTGAACAAGGAGATAAAAAGAAATCTAATGAATATATACCAGTACCTTCGCCATAGCTGTAATAAACTGGGAGAATTTTATTACTACTTTTGCTGGAGCAGTAGCGATAAAGAATTTCCTTGGCTTTGCCACTATCTGACTGGCCAATATTCATTGCCTTCAAAGCAAGCTCAGCCACAGCTTGTTCTGCTAGTTTCTTAGACGTGGCGGTACCTTTGGTACGGATCATATGGTCACCTTCTACGGTTACCGTGCAGATGACCTCTCCTGTTTTCAAATTTGAT